TCGCAGACGCCCGCAAAATATTTGGCATGCTAAATATCTGGAGCTGTCGGCGATTCACAATCATGCAGTGTGCAATGATTTCTGACTGAAAACTACATCAGCTATGACCTACAGCCAATGAGAGACCAAGATACAGGGCAGATGGAAGTTCGGGGAGGAGTTATAGAGCAGAATATCAGTATTTTAATAGATATATGAACAATTATATCATACAGAAACAAGCACAAACATTTGCTTGACCAGCCACAACATAAGCATAACAGTTACTGCTAAATGATTTACCTCTTTGCAGAACACCCAATCCCTGTTCCCTGCATCTCCCTCCTGCATAATCTGTTTTTCTTTTTCTCCTTGTAGCTAGAAATCAACTCACAGACAATTTGCGGACTATATATATATTTTTTTGGTAACACTTTATTTTGATAGTCCACTTTAGACATTCTATTAACAGTAAGTAACTTTGCAACTACATGTCAACTAGCCGTTAGTAGAGTATTAGTAGACTGTCAGCTTAATATCTTCTAACACTTTCTTTGTCAACATTCTACTAACCCTAAACCTACCCTAACAGTCTACTCTGAGAGTTAGTAGACATGTAGATGCAAATTAATGAGAATTAGTTAACATGTAGTTACAAAGTTACTTATAGTTAGTAGAATGTCTAAAGTGGACTATCGAAATAAAATGTAACCATATTTTTTAATAATTACAGTCTTGCTCGAGAACTCCGGTCTGACGCACGCGGTTTCTCGCGTTATTTCCTTATTACTTCTCGCGTCTGTTTTGTTGTGAAACGTAGTTTGCGGACCAGACAGAGCTGTCGGCGATTCTTCATATTGGGAAGTCATGCAATGTGAACCCCCCTGTCGCCGATCCATCGTGCAATGTGAACACAGCAGCAACTGAATGCTACCCCAGATAGTCACGCAGTGTGAAAACAACTGCGATCCGACGAGTTTGAAAATCATGCAGTGTGAACTTGGTATTACGCAAACAACGCTGTTCTGTGTCAGCAGCGCCGTAAGCGGATACGTCGTTTACGCTTTGATCTGACCGTAAACAACATATCCGCGTACATACGTTGCATACGCTGTTTACGTATGTGATACTCTCCAAAATGGCGAGGAGACAAATTGTTGAATAAAGTCATTATTTTTGTTTTCTTTGCGTACTAAAAGTATTCTCGTAGCTTTGTAAAATTTCAGTTGAACCACTGATGTCACATGGATTTTAACGATGTCCTTACTACGTTTCTGGATGTTGATCGTGTTAGGATCCTTGCTGTCTAATGGAACTCGATACGTTTTGTCCACGATCTGTAATTATGTGCAGCATTTTGCAAATGTTTTACAGGGGTCCATCAGCGAGGAAAAATATTTCAAATTATTTTCTTGAAACTACAGTGTGACTGAATTAAATACAGCTACAAACACACACACACATGATTTTTTTGTTAAAATAACTCAGTTATTTAAATTATGTGTTTCTGTTAAAGAACTGTAATTTCTTGCCATTTGCCTCAGCTGTGAGTCAAAGTTTTAGTATCACTGAGATTATAGTAAGCTATTATAGTTCTATTAATATTCTGAATTTGTGTGTATATATATATATTCTATTTTCGTTTTCATTTTAGTAATTTTGTTGTGTGGGTTTGTCAATTTTATACATTTTTAATATGTCTGTATACTTTTTATAAATTCTTATTTCAGTATTGTTTCAGTTATTTTAGTACATCAAGTTAAACTAAATACAAATACATACGGTACATACATACATACATATATTGTTTGTTTATTAACTCTAATAACCGTGCTGTGTGTGAGTGTTGAGAGATTGGAGCTAATCATCAGATATCTTAGTAACTATAAAGTTTAGAGTAATAAGACCATATACATAAATATCTGTTTTCTCTAGCATTGCTTTTGTATATTGGCCTTGTACAATCAAAACCCTCTTAAATTAGAAAAAAATTAGCAAAAAAAAAAATAAATACAATGTATTAACTAAAATACTTTTTGGAATTAATGAATAAATAAATAAATAAAATCTTTAATTGTCAATTTTTTTTCTGTTTAATTACATGTTTTGTTTCATAATTGTTTTACTGTTTAAATTTTGCCGAAAAGCTGCTGTTTGCTGATAGCTTCTATTGTGACATAATGTCCTGCTATCGTTTAATAAATAATATATATGTTTTTCTACATTTTTTAATTTTTTGTATTCGAGACTACATGAGCTGTGTCTATACACAAATAGAGTAAAAGCATGACAAGTAGCCCCAGACTCCTCTATACATTTTCTTGGTAGCCTATGCAAAACTCAAAGAGTTCAGTATGTAGAACATCTGTGGAATGCTTTTATTGTATATTTCTGGTTCATAATTCCTATCAGAAACCACTGGCACAGATCTTTAAAGTCAGGAGTCCATATTGTGTGTGTACGTAAAGAGATGGAGTCTCTCAAGCATGTCTTCCCCATCTCCCTCATGTGTCTGTCTCTCTTATGCTCTTCTGACAGTCCTGTTGCCTGCTATACGAATCTCCCCATGAGAGCCGGCGCAGAATTTCATACCTTGTTGACGTCTCATAATACTTATGTAAGCAGAGAAAAACACTTCAATGTACATGTATATTAGGAAACATTTTTTTTTTATTGCAGATGTAATGATAATCACATAATATCACATCAGTCGAAAAGCAACTCATTTAGAAATGGAAATGGCATTTCATTATTTTTTACAGTATGTCAGAGGAAAAAGCCTGATACTTTTTACATTTTCCAACGATCATTTCCTCCTAGATTTCATAGATTCCTCTCATAGATTATGGGATGAATTAATTTAAATGCTCTTTACCGTTTGTAATATTAGTTTATATATAGTTAATGTCTTAAAAATACATTTGAGATTAATACTACTAATATTATAAACTGATAATAAATGTATTATTAAACTTTCAAATTCACATTTATAAAGCATATTTAAAAACAACTCATGGTTGACCCATAGTTAAAGCAATATTTCAAAGCAGTATTTTTAGCTATATATTTTTTATTTTATTTTTTTTTTAAAGAAAAGTGTATAAGCTGTTGGTTGCAATTTTGCAGTTTTGTTGGATAGTGGACTATTTCAGTTGTTAAACTTGTTTACAGGACTCCACAATCATTGTGCTTTTGAATTTGTGTCCTTGGACTTTCTGAGGCGGCAGGTTAAGAAAGAAACTCCACGGAGTGAGGAAAGTGTCTCAGATCGGCAATTACAAACCGTCTAGTCGATTGTACAATAAACTCTATTCAAACCCTTTGCCAACAACACATTAGCACAATAGCAATATTGGGTAGAGTCAACGTTGATAAAGATTCCTATTGTATCGCAATTGAAAATGAGTCCTACTGTTGACTCCCTTGTTGATTTTCCTCAAGAAGCGACAGTTCGCACTCCATCTGGACGCGTTTCTGAGCCAGCCAGATTTTGGGAACTCGGAGGGAGGAACTGACGATCCAAAAATGACTCCGAGCAAAGACACGATTAGTCAGAAATGAATATTAAACAATGCTCAGGGACGAGCGTGATCTTTTTCACGACCTTCTCACGAGCCATCGAGGCCAATATTTGGCATGATGAATATCACAGGTAATGAACTTTTCACACCCCTGAATTAAGTTCTATTGTGCATCAGATGATACAATTAATGCACGCTTTAGTGGAACAATTTAGATCAAATTTTCCATTCATTATAATTAAGAGGCAGCCCTCATTTGCCACTGGTCTCCCTGTTTATTACTTTCCTTCATGGTGATCTAAAACTGAAGAACTGTCTCAGTACATCAGCGAAAGCAATTATTCCCTCTCTGATACCACCTCTCCGTTCCTCTGAGGCTCTCTGCTGCTCTTTTGCTCTTAAGCGCTAATTCAATTTACGTGCCGGTGTGAAATGTTGAATCGAAAGTTTGCGCACTTCAACCGGCATCCGATGCATACGTTGAGAGAAGTAATTATTCAGAACTCTTTGTGAGCCGTTTTCTTCATTTTCCCACTCGCCGCAGTGAGGAGCATTCTGTGTGCGCTCTTCACCGTGCTTCTACAAGATGAATCATTCTGGCTTGATGCTATTTTCTCAGCAGCATGCAATGAGCCCATCATTCAGAGGGAGCATCGTCTACATAGTGCCATGGCAACAAGCCACAGGCCTGCACGGCAACTTATGTGTTTCACAAAGGTTATACAAGAGGGTCATCCTCCTTTAGGGCCATGGAGAGAGAGAGAGAGAGAGAGAGAGAGAGAGAGAGAGAGATGCAATATCACAGCTGTCTACCTTTTCCCCTTTTTTCCTTCTTAACTCTCCTGCCAAATAAATTATTCTAAGACTGGCATGAGAATGTTTTGAAAATACTTTTTGGAGGTCACCGAGCGCATTGTGGTCGGGGATTGAGGGAGCATTAGGATAATATAATAAGATTATAAAGACGTGCATACTGATTTACATTACAAGCATTTACCTCAGCAGCGTCTTGCACCATTCACAATTCAATTGCGATGCCTTTTAAATTGCAGTTCCGTTCCTGAAGTTAAACTGAGGTTGCAAACAGGATGCAGAAAAGGAAGTGAAATTAAAATAGAATTTACTGCTTTTTAAGACTATATGGTTTTAACAGTTTAATCAGTGAGCAATGAGCTCCATTGGCTCCTCTCCTCTCCTCTCCTCTCCTCTCCTCTCCTCTCCCTTCTTTTAAAGAAACTAAGACTTTTATTCAGCAAGGATACATTAAATCAATCAAAAGTTGCAGTAAAGACATTTAACGTTAAAAAAAGTAAAAAAAAAAAAAGCTGTATTCCTAAATAAATCCTGAAAAAAAATATTACAGTTTTCACAAAATATTAAGCAGCTTAACTGTATATATTATATATTACATTAGAAAACAGTTGAAAATAGTAAATTGTAATAATAATAATAATAATAATAATAATAATGTATTTGAATATTTTGTATTACTATTTTACTGTATTGAGCATAAGAGACTTCTTTCAAAAAATCTTTTGAACAGTAATATGTATATATTATTTTTTACAATATATATAAAATAATATAATATAATATATATTTTTTTATTATATAAAGGACTGGACAGGAGTGTATAGAGCTACATTTGATACAACTGTGTGTGTGTTGTAAATAAAAATGTATCTTATTTGTTTACCCAAGTACATCTAATTATCACAGTACATTCAGGCACAAAATCCACACCATCCAATTATAGAAGTTTAACCAATATGTGTTACTAAATGTATTCTATTACTTTTTATAAATAAATTCATTTCATGAACCACAGTTGACCTACAAGTCCCACAATCCTCTAATTTACTGCAAATTAGTCTTCGAAACGGAGTCAGACAACATTAATCTGCTTACAGGGTGGAAACCTTAAACAACATGTGTTACATGCCCGATCTGTGTTGTTGGAAAAACAAAATAATGAAATTCTGTTGCGTTGAATTTCTCTGAATTGAAATTCAGTAACTATCTCTCCCTCTCATTCCAATTCAGCATCATGAGTGGTGTGTGGAAAGTCAGCTCAAAAGTAGAGCCTATTTCTAAATTCAGAAATATGCCCAACCCTGTGCCTTAGTCAGAAATTAAAAGATACTGCAGATGTTTTCATCCATTTCTACCATTAGTTGCATGCTGTAGACTTAGACTATCTTGGAAATTTGTAGACGCTGTGAGAACATGAACATGAATATAGAGTTGTCCTTGTATATATTATTCATAACTCACTTACCAATGCACTTTATGAAAAGATAAAAACCTGCATGGCTATTATCTGTCTCCAGACGGTTAGATGGTAGCGTTTGCATGTTCAGCTTTTGGAAATGCACAGTAATAATGACATTTAGCAGTCGACATTAAGACAATGATGTCTTTATTCACAATCGATCATTATTCAGGTGATACTACAGCAAAAATAACCATACAAAGGCAGTTGTG